AATGTAATATCTAAAAACCAAACTAGAAATAGCTATTAAAATGTGCTTGTTTCTATAACACTTCTAATATGTTCTACAATGTTAAATATAAAAATAAAGATTTAGTGATTATCACCAATCCAAAAAATTTACTTGGTTTTAAAAATTTACTTGGAAGTATATAAGAACCTTTTTTAAAAGACTGGAACACAAAGATACTGGATTATAAGAACATTAATATTTATTTTAAAAAATTCAACATATAAATTTTTTAAAACTTCCTTTTTAGTATTTCTAGTAAAATAACTTTATGATAAAATTAGTAAAAATTTTAGGAGTAAAAATTTAAATTAGAAATTACAAATGGCTCTTCCCTTCAAAATTGTAGCCTGAATTTCTCCAACTGCAAAGTAAGAAGGAAATTCTTGACCTACCCTGATGTGAGAATTGAATAAAATAGTAAATGACACAGCACTCATTGACACAGTGAGTACGGTTCGGGCAGTGCTTATGGTACGAACAAAGTTATCACTTGGTGGTTCAGCCTGTTAATCCCGTGCCTTTGGGAGGCTGAGGTGAGTGGACTGCCTGAGCCCGCGGGTTCGTGACCCGCTTGGGCAACTTGGCGAGACCTCATCTCTACACTAAATCAAAAAATCAGCCGGGCGTGGTAGCGCATGCCTGTAGTTCCGGCTACTGGGAAGGCTGAGGCGGGAGGATCGCCGGAGCCCAGCAGTTCAAGGCTGCGGTGGCCAGGAGCGGCCACTGCACTCCAGTCTGGGAGACAGAGTGAGACTCCAACTCAAAAAAAAAAAAAAAAAAAAAGCTATCAGTAGCCAAAATGAAAAGAGCTAATTTTTTTTAACACATTACAATATAATCTAGGATCTCTCTCAACAAAAATAAACCATCCTTTCTCTCACATTCTCCCAAGGCTTCCTATGGTAAGTCTTCAAGAATGTTTTATCACTCTGCACTTGTAGGTTAAGGTTTACCTTTCATGATTAAAGTATGCCCTCCATCCTCAAGGGGTTTATTTTGATATTGGTAAAACATCCATAGCTATTTATCTGCAAAGTCGGACAAAACAGTACAGTTTTACGCTGTTGAGGGGATTCTTAGTCTCAGCATTCATAATAAGATAACAGAAACATAATGTCTAACACATTATATTTGAGGGCTTAAACTGAGGTCTAGACTTAATTTGTTCAGTTTAATTTCATCAAATGATCAAGTGTTTTAAAGCCTAAAGCCAATTATGTATAAACAAACATGGATTGTTTCTTATAGAAGCATCTTGGCTTGTCCAAAAATTAGTGTTTTACAAATATATAGAAGTTATAAACATGCATACAGACCAAATTATTCCCTGTGGTACCATGAGGAGCCACAAGGGGAAAGGGTTAAAGTTGGACATGAAGACAATCTTGCCGCTAGAAATCTGTTCATTTTATGATTTTTAAAGAGACTAAGAAATTCCTTAAAAATTTTTTATCTAGCATAGAATTGAAATTTATAACTTCTACCTGAGTTGGGAAGAAATAACAAACTTTTGTACAAATCTGACTTTAGGCATGCCTAAGACACTGATTTGAAAACAGACTTTGAATAGTACTATAATAATTCCTTTTAGAGTTTTTCTAGTGTTTTTATTTTTACTTATGTTCTTTCATTTGAGCTGTTCAATTACCATACAAGGTAATTATAAAGATAATGGTTCAGAAAAATCTTCAAACTAATGAGTGACTTGCTTCTGTAAATATCCCCAAAAATGTGACAGGCGATGTTCTTTTTCTCTCTTTCAAAAAGCAGGGCCTTAGGGGGCTCCTCTTTCTATTAAACATCAACAACAACATTTCTTAAAGATCTTATGTTCTGTGGTACCCCTCACCCTTTCTCTCTCACACACAGACACAAAGCACATACAATTAGACTGTCGATGTAACTTTACTAACATGTATGAAGAGCTCAGATGCAAAAACTATATAAATTAAGCTAGTTAAATCTACTATTGTTACTCACTTTAGCTTGAAACTAATGAATACAAATCAGACTCCAAAGTGTCAAACTTTCTTTTTCCTAGGTGATGCACTTTTTTTTTTTTTTGAGTTGGAGTCTCTCATTCTGTCGCTCAGGGTGGAGTGCCATGGCATGCTCACAGTCACCACAGCCTCAACCTGTTGGGCTCAAGTGATCCTTCAGCTTCAGCTTTCCAAGTAGCTGGAACTACAGGCATGCACCACCATGCCCGGCTAATTTTTTGATTTATTGTAGAGATGAGGTTTCGCCAAGTTGCCCAGGCTGGTCCTGAACCTATGGGCTTAGGCAATTCTCTCACCTCAGCTTCCCAAAGTGCTGGATTATAGGCGTGAGCCACAGCACCAGGCCCTGATGCACATTTTTAACACCAGTTGAAGGCTGGGTATGGTAGCTCATGCCTGTAGTCCCAGCACTTTGGGAGGATTGCTTGAGCCCAGTAGTTTGAGACCAGCCCGGGAAACACAGTGAGACCACGACTTTACAAAAGAAATAAAATTAGCTGGGCATGGTGGCACACACCTATAGGCCCAGCTACTGAGAGGATCACATGAGCCCAGGAAGTCAAGGTTATACTGAGCTCTGAAGGTGCCACTGCACTCCAGCCTGGGTGACAGAGTGACACTTTCTACTCAAAAACAAACAAACAAACAAACAAACAAACAAACAAACAAACTACTAGTCTGAGAGAAGCTCTCCCAGGTTGAAACTGTTTTGGCAACTGTCTAATCTCAACTGGGTAATTTTCTTGCCTTTTTATAATATATAGGTAAGTAAAGTGATGCTTTTAAACTTCTATGATTAGGAAACTTTCCTAAGAAAACAAGAAATAAAAATATAAAACAAAATTTTAAAAATCAGTATACTGTTAAATCTGAATTGGAACTATTCATGTGAACTCATAATATATATCTACATATTTTTCTTGGCTCTGTCCACCAAAGAAATAACATCCCTGTAGTAATGAATTTATAAGATCTTGTTTTCTATTACCATTTTCCACTGAGAGAAACTATAACTTTTAGAAAAGTGGTTGATTCCAGCTCTGGAGCAGAAAAAATGTACAAGTGAATTTGGGACAGAAAGACTAATGCCACAAAGAACTTGAAGGCTTCGCACTGGCAAAATTTGAGACAATTCAATCATGAAAAAGAATTCAGTCATAACAGATTTTAAAATGTTGAATTTTTAAAAATCCATAAGATCATGGTGATCTAAAAAAGACGGAGAGAGAAAAAACAAATCACAAGGGAAAAATGAAAAGCTCTTCTTTACATAATACCAGTTAACAAATGCAGAAGAAATAATACAATTAAAATTTAATCATTTTCCAGTTCTCAGTATAATTACTGATTTAGGCAAGGATCATCAATAAATACTAAAACTACTTGGTGAAAAAACTTTTGGAAACAGACAGTCCATAGTCTGAAAGCATCACACCACAGATTACTACTAATTGCAAAGAGAAAAAAAAAAAAACTACAAAAAACTTTATAATGGAGAGAACTGGCAATCACTGCTTTAATCAAGTAACCAAAGTTATCACAAATAATGGGACAACTTGCAGTATATGTCTCCTAATTTTATGCAATAATAAATATACAACTTCAACTATGAATTGGTTAACCATAAGATTTATTGGCTAAACAAGTTGATTTCTGAGAGCGAAATGATATGTCATCAATAATTATACTAAAACAATAGATATAAACTGGAATTGTCATAGACCACCATGGATTTATTCTTACCTGTAAGTATCCTAGCCAAAAATACTTAAATGGAACCTAATTACAATGAAACATTCAGACAATTGGCCTGTCCTCTTCATAAAAGTCTAAGTCATGAAAAACAAATAGAGGACTGTTTTAGATTAAAAGAGGCTAACGATACATAATAACCAAATAAAATGTGAGGAGTTTAAATGCCGTATCAGAGGAAAAAAGTTATAAAAGATATTTGGGGATCATTTAGGGAAATTTGAACATTGGACTATGTATTTGAGGTTATGGTATTTTCTATTTTTTTTTTTTTTTTAGAAGTGATACTGGTATTGAATTTACTTTTCAGAAAATCTTTTTTTAAAAAAAACCAAACACACAAATGGTCATAGTAACTTCATTTGAAATAGTAGAAAACTAAAAACAACCCAAATGTTCACCAACAGGTGAATAGATACACTGATTGTAGCACTGCATTACAATGAAATACTACTCAACAGTAAATGAAATGACCTATTGACATATGCTGTAAAAAAGATGATTAAAATAAATAGATTATTTTATGTAAGGAAGCCAGACCAAAAAAGAAAGAGTACAAACTGTATGATTCAATGTATATAATATTCCAGAAAATGCATCTAATCTATAATGACTAGGTATAGGTCAGTGATTGACTGGAGATGGGGTTGAAGAGTGTGAAAGTGTATTGTAAGGGGAATGTTGGATGAGAAAGATCATAAAAGGGCAGGAGAAAATGTTGAGGGGAGTGATGGATAGGTTCACGTCCTACTTGTGATGATGATCCCATGGCTATAAATGTGAAAACTTTTGAAATTATACTGTCTAAATATGTGTAGTTTATTATATGTTAATTGTTCCTCAATAAAATTATTTTTAAAAACTACAAAGTCAAAAATCAAAAACCAAAGACAAAATCTAACTTCTTGGCAAATGTGTTCACTATTAGAGTTTTTAATCAGAGACATTATTTTTTATTAATATGAGAGAATATTCTTATTCTTAGAAGATGTACACTTAACAAATAAGGGTGATATGTTGCAAAGCCTGAAACTTGCTTTCAAATAGCTTAACAAAAAATATAATATATAAATACATATACACACATATAATAGAGAAAGAGTAATAAGGCAAATGTTGACAAATGTGCAGGTATTTAATGCAACTCTTCTTTCAAACTATAAGTTTGAATTTTTCAAAATAAAAGTCGGGGGAGGAGCAATCCGAAAAACAACTTTTTTTTCTTACCTTGAAGTCGCTCGTCAGTGAATATTTTGTTTGTTTGGTTCCAGGTGCTATCTATAAATATAATTTTTTTCAGTGTTGTGCCTTTGCACTTGCTGTCATGCAAATCACAGTCCTCTTGCTCTTCGGTTTTCTTGCGTTTAAAAGATGGCTTGTCAGGGTAATCATTTTTGCCTCTAACATTATTTTGAATCCTTTTTTGCAGATGAAAAGAAATATCTTTTATTGAGATAGACTGAGGTCCAGGAAAAACAAGAGCCACCTAAAACAAAGAAACTTGGGTTAGCAGTGTGCTATCATCTTCAAAATAAATACATTTTGACCAAGTTAAATTTTTAAGAAAAAATATGTTGAATATCCGAGAAACAAGCATTGGGTGGTTCTATTGTATGTGTTTCTTTAATATTTATGGTAAAATTTTTGGCTTTTCCCTAGTAATTTATAATGATAATATATTACCAAAAAGTATGACTTTAAAATGAGTTATTCACTGATTGACAGAAGTCAAGTCAATCACACTTTAAGTAAAAAACTAAACTTTATGGTTTTTCATAAGATGAAATGCAAAGTACATGATACTTTGTAAAGGAACCACTGGAAACTGCTCAGTGATTAAATACTATTTTCTCCTGTATAATAAGCAAAGATAAAACAAATGATATAATGAATACTAGTGACAAAATGGTGCAATAGGTCTTTTTTGTCATTACTTGATGGCAGAGTTGAATAGTATAACTCTTCACGAAAGTCATTTAATTTTAATCAAGAGTCCTAAAATATTTAGAGCTTTTGACACAATGATTTCATTACGGGAACTTATCTTAATAAAATAACCCAAATGCAAACTACTCAAGAAAATTTGCTCAAAAATATATATTACAGTATAAGATTAAAATAAAAAATCTAACTTTCAAAAGAAAATTACATAAGTTATGATACCTCTTTTCTTTCATCACATTTTTACTGAGTACCTATATTATTAGAGCTTCCAGTATCTGAACAGCTTCTGGCAAAAACGCAGAAGCCAAGTAGATATTTGTTAAATTAACAAATGTTGGTAGAATATTGGGTATTTTTCCCCCATACATTTCTTTGCTTCTCAAATTTTCAATTGCATGTACATTTTAAAATGAAAATAAACATAAAAACAAAAGCATAAAAAAAACCAAGTTAGCCGGGCTTGGTGGCTCAGCCTGTAATCCCGCACCTTTGGGAGGCTGAGGTGAGTGGATTGCCTAAGCCGGCGGGTTCGAGACCCGCCTGGGCAGCGAGACCTCACCTCTACAATAAATAAAAATATCAGCCGGGCGTGGTAGTGTGCGCCTGTAGTTCCGGCTACTTGGAAGGCTGAGGCGGAAGGATCGCCGGAGCCCAGTAGGTCGAGGCTGCAGTGGCCGGAAGCGGCCACCGCACTCCAGTCTGGGCGACAGTGAGACTCCAACTCAAAAACAAACAAACAAACAAACAAAAAAACCAAAAAAAACCCCCAAGTTTTCAACCATTCATAATGCATGCTTGTATTTATTTCCCCCTATACTCGATTACCAAAGTCTAGGACTTCTTAATTTTCTTGGAATTTAAGAATATCAGATTTCTTTATAAAATCTAGCACTATGTTAATCAATATAAGTGGTATCTAGCTGACCAAAGAAAAAAACATACAAATACCTTCTTAGATCCAAAACTCAAATATTATTTACAAACAACTTTCTGTATAAACTAAAAAAAAAACAAAAAACCCAAAATGTAGAGATAAAGATATATAGGAAAATAAAAACAAGTTTTTTTCTGGAACAAATGAATGCATTAATTTTTTATTTTGTTTCTAGATTAACCACACCAACAAACGGCCCTCAAGAGACTTAAAAGCGTTTATATGTTTCTTTTTTTTTTTAGATAAATTATAAAATTACTTTTCAGGAAGAAGACCAGTAATATCTCATTAATGTGACAATTTCAACTATGTGAAAATCAATTAAGAATCTAAATATGAGCAAGGAAGGCCTCTGAGCAGCCCAAAGAAATGTTACAAAGGCTATGTACTAAAGCTCTTAATTTAGGGAGAATTCCTAAAAATCCTCTTAACTCAGTCATTTCTTTTTTTAGAAAAATTCTAACATTTGCAATCTGGTTTCTCAGTTGGCATCAAATTAGACCATCTACGTGTAGCATAAACAGGAGAAGGATAGGGAAAAGTAAAAGCAGGCATATTAGTATTGGCAAAAAGTAAAACCCTGAAGAATGAAGGCAGAAAAACTGTAAACAACATAGCAGTCTAGAATCTGACCTTTGAAGATATCAATGATGTAAACTGTATATTACTTAATACTACATGAGCATAACACGAGGTTAGGAAAATAAAAATATATGTTCAAGTAAGTTCAGAAAGACAATGGAGTTTAAAGCTTATTTTCATAGTGAAGAGTTGTAAAAAAGTAAGCTGCCTACTTCATGATCCTTTTCTTCATATTCTGGAATACAAGGATACGTGTAAATGTTTACAAATTCAGGTGCTAAGAGTTTGGCATGTATAGCAGTACTTTTGCCATCTGTTTCATTTGGATGTTTAATGATGTCAATCTTCAATGGAAGCTAAAGTAAAACAAAAAAAGACAAATTAACAAAACAAACACAAAAATTCTAATTTGTATGTTAATAAAAAGGGTCTTTAAAGCTAAATAACAAGCTCACAATAAGTTTCTATAAATATACTTAGGATCTGAAAGGTATATTTTTCTAGTCTAGGATATTAAGAATAGTGAAAGTCATAAAGAAAATCCAAATTTCTTCTTTGATAATGTTAGTCATGTAATAGAACAACTATTTCCAACCCATTTGACACAGAATTGTCTTTTAAAGCAAAGCTCCAATGTCATTTTCATTTAAGTTTCATGAGTATTAAATCCAATTTTTTGCATTGTATGTATGCCAAGAACATTTTTTTATAATTCCTATATACTCTAGATGAGTTTATTTTATGCTATTTAAAAAGAAATTGTAAGTTTAGGCAAAAGCTTCAGATCTAAAATTCAAGTTGAAATTCTGCTCCTTATACATTCTTTCAAATCAAAAATACTACTTTGTTGTGAACATCATGATTTTTAGCAGCACATTTAACAGAACAAATTAAATATCAAAAGGAAAAATGTAACAGCATAGGTCTAAGAGGTATAATCTTTATATCACAAAAAATGCTCTTCAAAATCATCTTGCCTAAGTATTTCCCTTAATGTTTCATTACTTGTTATGGATTGTGTTTTGCTCCTGAGAAAAAATAATTATTTTTCTGGATTTCTTAAGTTGGTTTTTCTTATTTCACTTTGTGGTTAGGTCTTTATAACTCCTGTACACGTCCTGCATCCAGTCATGATTAGGGAAATAAAAGCCAAGTCATATCTCTCCACCATATGGAAGAAATCCTCCTAGGATGAGTTCTTCACTTCAGCTTTTAAATGACTTTCTGTTTTATTATATACCCTCCACCATCTCCAAGGCCCCATCCCACACTAAATAGGCAGGATTTTACCCTGGGGAACACAGCTACTGTGCCCTGGAATACAAAACTATATATATATATATTTTTGGTTTTAAACTGTACACACTTAAATTGTACAATCTAGTAAGTTTAAACATATGTTAGACCTTTGAACCCATCACCACAGTCAAGATAATAATCTGCCACTATGAAATCTTCTTATGCCCCTTTCTTTCTCTTCTCCCCATCAACCACTGCCCTCCTGAGGAAACCACTGATCTGCTGCCACTATAGATTAGTTTGCATTTTCTAAAAGTATTTATATAAATAAAATCATCAGTTTGTACTCTCCATCTGACTTTCAACAAGAATAATTACCTTGAGATCCCTTCATGTTGTTGCATTAGTTCCAAAACCAATTTCATACATTTTTTTTTTTTACTGGACAATTATGTTGGGACAGAACAGCATAAAGAATATACCCTAGAAGGACCTTGGGCCACAAATACATATCCCAAATAGTTTTCAATAAAGTTCCAAATACTATATCTCCTAACCACCCCACTTAGGCCTGGGAATCATTTATATAAGTTAGGCCCAATTGTTTCAAGTCATCAAACCAACCACTAGTTATAGAAACTTTACCATTTAAGTAGTGAGTTCACAAATGATTTTACATCAGTCTACTTTTGGCTGAACTTTACATGAGAATTTCCTCATGACACTCAGTTTCAGTTGACACTATATTTCCTCTCCCTGGGGTCTCTGAGTACCAGGTCGGTGTTATTTTAGTCCAGGGAAGGTGGAAAAGAGTAAAGAAGAAAAAGCAGATCATGACAAAGTGTTCTATTACTAATAAAAGCAACTTTATTACATGGTTGATGAATAGAGTTGAAAATCATAAAAGCTATCACCAACACTCGGTTATCTTGCAGGATATCATTGTATCAAGAACATAGGACTGAGCATTATAAACAATTTTATAAATGATGTGCCTAGCCTATCTTTTAATTTTAATAATAATAATAATAAAAAGCCTACGGAGTAAAACCTACAAGTATAATACAATTATGCAAAATTTGTGCTACTGGAACCCAATTCAGATATTGTTAGTTCTCCATGAGCAAGCATGAGATTCCTGATACTATAAAACCAAAGCACAGAAACAGGTCAACTCATGGAAATATGGATTTGTGTTCTTTTCACACATTTTAAGAGAAAATACTTCTTAAATAATGACAAGGTAGAGTAACAATAATGTCCAGAAGATGGTTTGAGTAGAAATGTTCTGTTTTTAAGTAACTAAAAAATATCAATTGGTTCTGTAACGCCTATGTTTTATATAAGAGACATCACAACCTTCCTGCCCAAATCTATCAAAATGCTACTGGCAAGGAAACCTATGCATTTTCCCATGTGATTATTAACTTTCCCAAAGAAAGGAAAGAGAGCCTATTAAATTCTAGGACTTCAATAAAAATGTTTTCTTCTATTTTTTTCTCCTCTTTTTAAAATACTCCAAGAGTACCTTTTTATCTTTACTTATGCATCTTTCACGGTTTAAGAAAAATCGTATTTTGCACTAAAATATAAGTACAGTCATGTTCTAAATAACAATGTTTCAGTCAGTGAAAGTATATGACAACAGTCCAATAAGATTATGTATAGTGAAGCTGAAAAATTCCTATTGCTTAGTAAAATCTTAACCATTGTAATATCTTAATATGATACATTACTCACTTGCTTGTGGAGACGCTGGTATAAACAAATTTACTGCACTGCCAGCCATATAAAAGTACAGCACATATTACTTTATAATATGACTATGTTATGGATTTCTGTATTATCTACTATACATTTTACTGTTATTTTAGAGTGTACTCTTTCTACTTAGAAAAAAATGTTAACTACAAAACAGCCTCAGGCAGGTCCTTAAGGAGGTATTCCAGAAGAAGGTATTGCATTATTATCAACTGAGATGACAGTTCCATACATGTACTCTTAAAGTTTGTGTCAATGCCAGACACGTTAACATCTATCTAATAAATTCTTCTTTAATTATGTAGACACGATATTTTGTGGACCTTTTACCTATACAAAAGTAGTCTTAGTAAACACCAAAAAGTATAAAGGTAAGCAATCAATTCAAACCAACTTTTAAATCTAGCTTAAAAGCACTGTAATGACAAAACAGCCCAGTGAACAGGTTTTAATTTTTAAATTTTATCCCATTTTTGTTTTGGTTGACGAACTATGCTCCATCTTCATGTATAGGATAAGGCTAAGTCACAAAAGCCTAAGCAAAAATTAACTCCAGATCTACTAGGATTGCCTCTTCTGAAGACATTCTAGTTGGACAAGATGAGCAGATGGAAGATAATGATACTGATGACTCTGATTCTATGTAGGCCTAGGTTAATATATGTGTGTCTTCATTTTTTTTTTTGAGTTGGAGTCTTACTCTGTTGCCCAGACTGGAGTGCAGTGGCCGCTCCCAGCCACCGCAGCCTCAACCTGCTGGGCTCCGGCGATCCTTCCGCCTCAGCCTTCCGAGTAGACGGAATTACAGGCATGCGCTACCACGCCCGGCTGATTTTTTGATTTATTGTAGAGATGAGGTCTCACTGCCCAGGCGGGTCTCGAACCCGCGGGTTCAGGCAATCCACTCACCTCAGCCTCCCAAAGGCGCGGGATTACAGGCTGAGCCACTGAGCCCTGCGTGTGTCTTCATTTTTAACAAAAAAAATTAAAAGTTGAAAAAAAGAATTTTTAAAACAGAAAACTGTTTACAGAATGAGAAAGAAAATATTTGTGTAGAGCTGTACAATTTGTTTAAAGCCAAGCATTACTATAAGAGTAGTAACTTAATAAAGCTATAAAGTTTTAACTTTATAAAGCAAAATAGCTACAATAAGCTGAAGTTAATTTATTACTTAAGAAAAATATTTTTTATAAATTTAGTATAGCTTAACTATACAGTGTTTATAATGTCTACAATCGTGTACAGTAATATCCAAGGCCTTTGCATTCACTCACCACTCACTCACTGACTCAGAAAAAAATTCCAGTTCTGAAAGCTCCATTCATGGTAAGTGCCCTAAACAGGTATACCACTTTTATCCTTAATATTTTATTTTTACTATACTTTTCCTATGTTTAGATACATATTTACTATTGTACTACAATTGCCTACAGTGTTCACTACAGTAACATGCTGTATATGTTTTTAGCCTAGGAGCTATAGGTTATCCCATATAGCCTAGGTAGGTATACAGCAGACTATACAAACTAGGTTGTATAAGTCCACTCTATGATGTCTGCACAGTGATGAATCTGCCTAACAACTAATTTTTCAGGATGCATTCCTCAGAATGTATCCCAATTAGGCATGACTATTTATGAATTTATTCACTAAACTAAAATTTATAGCTTGGGAGGGACTTACTCATTATGTAGCTATCCTCCCTTCTCAAGTGGGTCACCTAAAAGCAAATGCTGAATGATTTGTTAAAATAAAAATAATGCAAAAGTAAGAAAGAACATTTTGTAAAGTTATTATTACTATTCATATATATTAATACATCAAATTTTATATATGGACATTAAAATATAAACACTTTAGAAAACTCTGCACAGTCCAGATAGTTTAGAGTTGATGAAACACTAATGTTTTGATTCATTTCGATTAAATAATGGACATTAGACCACTGATTTGGAAAATAGTGTCTATTATTAAATTTCTATGAAGATATCAGTCCTGTAATTATATTATTGACTTTTACTATTCTTATCTGCAATCATTTTTGAACACATCTTAAGATAAAACAATTAATAGGATACTTTCTTTACATGGCTCTGAAATATATAGAGGACAGAATAACTCTATGTATACTTCAAAAACTAAATTTTGAAATGTAACATTCCAAGTAAGATAATGGGAAACTTGAAAAGAATTATTATCCTCAAGCTTTTGTCTTTTCTGAACAAACTGTGGCGCTTATATTAGATTCCATACTTTCTGATTATTGGCCAGTAAGCCTTTCATTAGTCTGTACATGTGAACCTTGAGGAGACCATGGACTTGCCAAGATAACATATAGGCTAAACTGAAATTCAAGTAACAAAATATAATTGTTAAAGTACTTTTCTTACTTCAAATATAAATGAGCCTTAAAATCACCAAAACAAATATTTTTTAAATGTAGTTACAATTTACTTTCTTATTGGCAAATTCTAATGAATCCATGTGTAGAGTTTTGTCTCTCAAGTCCTAATAAACAGCAGTCAAATTTTATATATTACTTGATTTATTCTTAAAGTTTGGGTCAAGGCTAGACAAGTTAGCACCTATGAAATAAATCCTTCTTTAGTTATGTAGACATGATTTTTTTTGGACCTTTTACCTATACAAAAGTAGTCTCAGTAAGCACCAAAAAGTTTAAAGGTAAGCAATCAATTCAAATCAACTTTTAAATCTAGCTTAAAATCAATGTAATGATAACACAGCCCAGTGAACAGGTCTTAGATTTTCCATTTTATTCCATTTTAGTTTTGGTCGATGAAATATGCTCCATCTCCACATATAGGATAAAGCTAAGTCACAAAAGCCTAAGCAAATATCAACTCTAGTTCTACTAGGATAATATCTTCTCAAGGAGCAGTCCAAGAATCTGAAGCAGTTTTTGACATTCCTCCATGTAGTCTATAAATTTTTTTTTTAGTATTCATGTTTATATCACACTTTTCTCTATATTGTAAAGAAATTATAATCAGTAATAAAAAATAATTTATTTCATTAAAAACAATACCATTAAAAAAAAAAACAGATGGCGCCATTCCCTCGGCGGCAGGTCTCCTATTCAAGGGCTCACCAAGAGCAACCCTGCTTAGCTTCCCAGCCATGGCGCATCCTGCGCCTGCGTGCCATGAAGCGCCCTGCCTGCATTCGGTGGCTCAGCCTGTAATCCCGCGCCTTTGGGAGGCTGAGGTGAGTGGATTGCCTGAGCCTGCGGGTTGGAGACCTGCCTGGTCAGCGAGACCTCATCTCTACAATAAATCAAAAAGTCAGCTGGGCGTGGTAGCGCATGCCTGTAATTCCGGCTACTTGGAAGGCTGAGGTGGAAGGATTGCCAGAGCCCAGCAGGTCGAGGCTGCGGTGACCGGGAGCGGCCACTGCACTCCAGTCTGGGCGACAGAGTGAGACTCCAACTCAAAAAAAACCCAACAAAACAATACCATTTATTTCAAACCCAGAGACAAGAAAATCAAATAGGTTTATCAGTTGTATGATTACATTTTCCATTAATAAAGTTTATTTTCATAATATTATTTATCAAGTTCATTGATTATATTAGAACAAGCATAAATAAAATGTCTTCTTAAAATCTATTTTCCTACTTTCAAGCAATTAAATTTCTTACCAACCTTCACAAGTGGAATCTGTTCAATGGGTACATTTTCCACTGGGACATAACATGTGTAGCAGTAGAACATTCTGGAACCACCACATTTAAGACACTTGGATCTTCCACTTTGTTGAGCTTTTTGAAGAACTTCTTGAGATGCTAAGCATAAGTTTTGAAGGGGATCTTCTGAGGCTATGGAAGCAGTTTGAGACTGTATTGTTTCCACAAATTTTGAGTTATTTTCTTCATTTTCTTTGAGACATATAAGTGGATTGAGAGACATTCTTCATTCAAACCAAAGTTTGACAACTATTTCTAAAATACATATCATAGGTTCACTGTAAAAAATAAAAGTGGAAGGTAAAATAAAATCAGAAACTATTTTACTGTCTCTCTATTAGGAATGCAAAGGTTTCATATTAGTATCAGCCAGGAACATATTAAACCCTGTAGGCTCTGACTATGAATTGATATTGTATGACATCAAATCTCATACTGAACTCTAATGAAAAATAGAAGGTTTCAGTGATATCAATAAAATTTAGTTGGGCATATTCTAAAAGATATAGTCCTCTTAAGCTTAAAATACATACACACACTACACACACACACAAAACTAAACATCCACTAAAAAATGATAAACATCTATTACCAATTTAATTTGTAAAATATCCCATAAAGTAAAATCTATGATCTTATAAATTATAATTATACAGAGTAACTTAAGAGTCCAAAAACTCTAAGAATTTCCTGCTTTCTAAAAATATACACCATTTAGATGTTCAGTACTAGAGATAAAATGTAAAATAACTTTCCCACTTAATATTTTCTTCAAAGAAGGATGATGACTGCCAAAATTGTTGTTTGCACACCCTGTAAGCAAAATATCCTTCCAGGGAAAAAGGAGACTGGGACCCTACTGATATGCATTCCACAACTGTAAAATGATTCTTTTATTATAAAGCCTTATGGCATTGTGGTATTTAACTATGAAGATCAAGGCGCTCCGAGTACAAACACTGACAGGAGAAACCTGTGACTCCAACAGGAAACACTCTGTGGTCTCCCAAATAGGAAGTGAACAAAAAGTCCACAGAAACAGATAATATAATTTGCTAACAAGAAGTCAGTGACAGTAATTTAATTACTCATCAAGAGTTTCCTGTAGATTGTGAATCCCAGTGAGCTTAAGACCCAAAAAAGAGGAGGGACCCCCCAAAAATTCAGAATTTATTTATAAAAAATTGTATTCATTCTTTCTTTTTTTTTTTTTGAGTTGGAGTCTCACTCTGTCACCCAGACTGAAGTGCAGTGGCCGCTCCCGGCCACCGCAGCCTCGCCCTGCTGGGCTCCGGCGATCCTTCTGCCTCAGCCTTCCGAGTAGCCGGAATTACAGGCGCGCGCTACCACGCCCGGCTGATTTTTTGATTTATTATAGAGATGAGGTCTCGCTGCCCAGGTGGGTCTCGAACCCGCGGGCTCAGGCAATCCACTCACCTCAGCCTCCCAAAGGCGCGGGATTACAGGCTGAGCCACCGAGCCCGGCTTGTATTCATTCTTACATGTTTAAACTTCAGTCACCTTCAAAGTACTCTCTGTTTGATGCCTTTTAGTGCTTCTGCTGTTTATTGTTTCACTTTTTCCATATCTGTTGTCTTTGAGGACTTTTTCATCCAGGGAAACAAAAAAGTCACTTGGGGCAAGATCTGGTGAATAGGGAGGGTGGGACATGGGGGTCATGCCATTTTGGGTCAAAAACTGCTGAACACTCATCACAGTGTGGGCAGGTATGTTGTCAGAGTGGAAGACAGTCTCCTCTTTGCCCCAACTTGGGACATTTCTTCCACAGATCGTGATGAAACCTTCTCAAAACTTCCAGGTAAAAACTTTGGTTGAAGGTTTGATCTAGAGGAACAAATTCTGAGTGTACTACAAGGGCTCGCCCTCCAAAATATAATTCTGGTTTCTGGAGGGGTCCTCCCTCATAAAGGGATGCAAAGACAAGATGCCAGTTACAGAAGGAAAAATAACGTACTTGCCAAATTTACCCAAGGAGAAAACCAAAATATGGTAAATATTTTTGCTGTGTACTGATATAGATTTACATTGTAGGCTGCTGAGAAAAAGTGGTATTTAAGAGCAGCGGTCCACTTCCTTTTTCTTGTCTCACAAATAGAAAACATTATCTATTTCTGATTGCCACTCTAAGTCATTTGCATAAATATGGCTTCTGTCTTTGTGAACATGTCCTCAGCAACTAAGAGAGTGCAAAATATTAACAGATGTCTTCTTTTCTTGAGTCTTAAATTCTTTCAGGAATCACATGAAAATCATGGACCTTATCCCTAGAAAACGAATATACAGACATAATATCTTGCACAAAATTTCAGGTGGTCTGCAGCTCTCATAGAGTCCATCTAGCATCCAGGTAAAGAAATCCAGACTAACATAATTCATTCTAATGACAGAAATTACCTTAAAGGTTTGAGAAGAGATCCAACTATCCCCAGAAAATGGGAGCTACAAATGTTCTGTTGGTCAACAAAGTGTCAACTGACACAAGCCAATAAAGCTCCCATTACTGTGCTTATGAAGTTAATTAGTTTCACCTAAACCATTTTGGTTTGGGTTTCTTCTGGTGTTGTCTTAAGTTTTTACAGAGAAACATTTTTAGGCTGTAATTGTCCTGAGTTATTCAGATCATGAGATTCATCCTAAAAAGAAAGCTGACTCAACTAATTCACTAATGAATTAGTTCATTCTAATGACTGACTTCATTTCCCTGAATATTCCAGTAGTTATTTAGTGGGTTTGCTTGTGCCACCAAAAGGCCCAGGCACAGTGGGGCTCAAGAATGAAGTTCTTGTTGATATCATGAAAGTCAATGTGGTTGCCCGACATTTAATGGAAAACTACTGGTGAGTTTTTAACATTATTTCAATGCCCTCAAAGTGCATTCCTCCTGAGATATCTCAGAAACATCACCTTGTATTTCACTGAACGTCCATCCACATAACTAAATGGACATTAATGAAATCTTCTATAAATGACCTTCCTCTACAAAATCAAACACAAATACCTGTGAGCCAGTAAAAAGAAAATGTTTATGGCTCCTTCCCCTGCTTCACCTACATATTCTCACCTATGGCTAAGGTAGCCATAGAAGAATCCAGCATTTGTAAATCGTGGCAATTCCCTCCAAAGGTCTCTGAAACTATATGATCAGGGCATCTGGCCTAATCTAGACAACAGCCTGCCTCAAATCTAAGCAAACCATTCACTGCAAATGTGGCTATTTAACCTTTAAAACATTATTGTTAACATCAAATATGTGCAAAAAATATGATCTAAGTCATGGGGGTTAAAAATAATTTAGAAACATAAAAAGACTATTCTTAAGAACTAACAAATAATTTTGGCACCTTGATGGTGCAGCCATCATTCTGCAACTTAGGCTGAAAACAAAATAATTTTTTACTCCTTCTACCCAATTTTCTCCCAAAACTAATTATACTGACCAAGTTGCATTAATTTTACCTTGCAGATACCCCTCTATTTTCACTCTCCAAGTCAGGACTCTAATGCACTCCTTATCAACTCATAGATGGGCTGTGACAATCTCTTACACCTCTTTACTTTTGAGTACTTACTATTGGTTCTACATATTTGACATGGAAAAATGTACTTAATGTAGAGGTACCTTTTAGTGAAGCTATCCCTCACAGCATTCCATTCTGCAAGAGCTGAATTCTTTCCTGATCTCACCTATTCCTGATTCTTATGCATTAGGAGGAGTTCAGTAAATACTTGTTAACTAAATCATAAATGATTCTGAAAAACACATCCAGTAAGCATCTCACTACTGAAGTAGCTGACAAACTACCGTTATGGGTCACCTGTAACTTAGCACAAGTGGCAGCTGGCAATTTTTTTTTTCAAAGTAATGAATGGAAAAGGCTCCTCCTATTGTAAGTTGACTCACCTCCCAATGGAACAGTACATAAAACTCCCTATCCCCTATCGTGGACAAATGCAGCACTAGATAAAAACCCACTTTACATTTTCTTTCTAGAGTATTTTTAAGAATCTAATTACATAGTATGCACAGGTTCATCATTCATTTTTAAAAATCCAACGTATCACCTTTTTCACACAGGACTCACGGCCTTTCCCACACGACCCACCACATGGTAGGTAGACTGTCCTGCCTTAGTTTTTCTGGTACACTGGGGTTCAATCAGAAGTAGTCCCCACGTGTTGCGATCTTAAGTACGGCTTTATCACCCAACTTTGTGGAACTAGCAACGGAAAAGCTTAACGTATTTCCTTATTTGTCCTACATTCCCGAGAAATCAGACATAAGAAACAGACTGCTTTGCTTATTATGTAACCATATCCTTAATATTTTAAATACACTGCATAGTATATCTATTCGATGTCTCTACTAGGCTTCCGTAATTATTGAGTTCCCGCAAACCATCCGAAACACTAAAAACACACCAAAAAATGGGGTTCCCTGGGAACTGACTTTGCCTGGACATACTTTCCTTGTTGCGGAAAGCACCGGAAACCATTGTTCGGAGAAAAAATATATACATATATGTGTGTGTGTGAGTATATATATAAATATTCGACAACATTTGGAAGCCTTTTCCCCAAAGGGCCCGCAAGAGCCCCCAAATCCAAGCGCCCACTCAGGGACCGAGGTTCCCCCCTCAGAGGCGAACCCCAGCACGACCTCCGCTAGAGTCCTCACAAGGAATGTTCATTTCCCGCAGCCGCAAAGCGCGAGTCGGAGACCACTGGTCTCTAGAGAGGCGTGGACACCCGCACCAGGAGTGGGACTCAGACCTGCACAGCCCGCACGGCTCCACGCGTCTTCAGCTCCGCCCGAGCCCGAGAAGCCTGCCGGACCGCGATCGCGCACGGATCGGCGGAGCGCTTTCCCGGCAACACCAGAGGGTGGAGCCAGGCGGTTACTAAGGTTGTTGCTAGGGCCGGGCGCACCGCGGGCCCCGCGGCCAAGGTAACGGGCGGGGACGACCACGGGGCGGGGTTAGTCGAGAAGTCCCGCCTCGGCCTCTCAGCGGGCATTGTCGCGCTGCTCCAGAAAGACTGGGGCGGGGAGTCGTCCAAGCCTGGCATCACAGCCGCCCCTAGCTCTTCGTCGAGCTCCCTCCCGAGTCTGGACCGGACAGCAGAACGGGGACGTTGTTCTCGAAATATACTTTCCAAGTCGTAGTTCCAGTGAGTTACGAAGACATGTTGATCCTACAGAACACTTTCCGTTTTACCAGTCTCAAAGATAGTTTAGTCGTGAGAACTTGATTCTGTTCTTTTTAGTGACCGTATTAAGATTTCGTGTGCCATGTAATAATGAAAGCTATGAGAAAAAAGTCGTTTGCATAGAGTTGGTACTACTTTGTGCGTCTTTCCAGTTTGAAATTAAACGAAGTATGTGGATATGTTATTAATCCATTTGTCCATACCACACCCCAAATAAAGTCCAAAACTGGAGGAGTGCACTACTACTAAGGGGGGAAAAATGCAATATGACTAATAAGTTATTGGAATTTCAAAAGAGCTCAGAATAGAGTGTCTAAAGGCTTATTAGTATTGACTTGGGTAAGGCCTTGAAGAATGATTATGGTTTTGGGCAGTGTTTTTCAACTGGAGAGGGGATCATGTAGGATCCATTGATGGAGGTCTTGACTCATTTGGAAGCCAGGAAATCTTTTAACACTTTTTAAGAAATGAAATAATATAGGCTGGAGATATAAGCATATTTAAGTAAATTTAGTATTAATTTGTAAAGTTAAGTATTGGTTTTTGGAGCTTTTAGTTATATATGGGCATTATATATATTAATATGCATGTATGTGTACACTCGGTCTTTGTGAAATGTTTTTCTTATCGTGAGGCCCACTAAAAAGTTTGAAAGTCACTAATTTAGGGAGAAAGATGAACTTTCAGGATAAGGAAAGCAGCAATAGCAAGTTCTCTAAGCTGGGAATAAGTAATTGACAGCCATTTTCATTTTTAACTTAACTCTTAGTGTTTTGTTTGTTTTGGGGTTTTTTTTGTTTGTTTTTTGAGTTGGAGTCTCACTCTGTCACCCAGACTGGAGTGCAGTGGCCGCTCCTGGCCACCGCAGCCTCGACCTGCTGGGCTCCGGCGATACTTCCGCCTCAGCTTTCCAGGTAGCTGGAACGCCTGGCTAATTTTTTGATTGTGGAGATGAGGTCTCGCCAAGTTGCCCAGGCAGGTCTCAAACCCACGGGTTAACTCTTAGTTTTTTGGAAGTAGTTCCATTGCACAGAATAAAAAGCAAGTGATACTATTTATTAGCTTGAGCATTGGGTTGCTATTACTATATATGAATTACTCCACAATGTAATAGCTTGAGATGGAACGATCACCCTGGATTGTCCGGATGGCTGTGCATAATCAAAGGATCCTCATAAGAGAGAAACAAGATGCCAGAGAGAGAAGAACTATTTACACTGCTGGTTTTGAAGTTAGATAAAGGAACTGTGAACAAAAGAATGCAGGTGATTGCTAGAATCTAGAAAATGGAAGGAAGCAGATTCACCAGATTCAACCATAGAGCCTCCAGAAGGAGGGAGCACAACCCTGCAGTCCCATTTCAGACTTCTGACCTCCAAAACTGTGAGACAAAAATTTTTTGTTGTTTTAAGAAACTACATTTGTGGTAATTTGTTACAGCAGCTATATGAACTAATATGGGGGGAAATGGTGATTTTTTTTTTTTAGTATATTTCAGATCTGAAAATGCTACATACTTAATTGATACTCTATCTATATTTAAACTTATCAGCTGAAAGTCATTTTCCTGGCATAATTTTCTAAATTCTTATCTATTTTTCCCTCTGATTCTTTTCTTTAATGTTGTCCTAGTTTCCAGAAGATTTTTTCACCTTTTTTTACATAGGCTTTTTTGTTGCATATTTAATTTATACAGTTATATTTGTACTTTACATTTTTTCCCTTACTCTACATTCCTTTATAACATTCTGATTTGGTTTTAGACATACATTGTCCTTTTATAGTTCTCTAAGAATCTTAAGGACTTTTTTGAAGTTTCCTTCTGTTTCCCACATTGTTTGTATTCTCCCAGATATTGTTTTTAGTTATGTGTTTGGATTTTTCCTTTAAATAATTTTACAGTTATTCCTTAAATATCTAGTAAACCTTGACTTTCTTTTCATAATGAAAAATAAGGATTTAAATGGTGATAGAAAGCTCATGGTGTCTGATTAGGCATTGTTGAATAATCAGCTTCATAGTACAGCAAAATTGATCATTGGGAGTTTCTCAAGCATTCATAGAAGAAAAGGGACTACTGAAGAAAAGAGAAGAAAGCAATGAAATAAAAAACAAATATGCACTAAAGAAAAGAAACAAAGAAGAGCCAAAATTGGTTCTTTGAAAAGCTTAATAAAGTTGACAAACATTTAGATAGACTGTCCAAGAAAAAAACTCAAAGTACAGATATCAGAAATGAAAATGAAACATCACCACAGACCCTACAGATAGTGATAATAAAAGGATATTAAGAATAAATATTTATGTCAAGATATTTGACATTTTTTGTTTTCTTTGAAAAACAATTTACCAAAATTTATATAAAGAAGTAATAGAATACTGAATGATTCTACATTAATTTTGAGAAATTATATCTCTGTTAGTCTGCTCAGGCTGCTATAAGTCTACTAGTCTATCTAGGCTGCTACTCAAACTGGATGACTTACCAGAAATGTATTTTCTTACAATTTCAGAGATCAAAAGTCCTCGATCAAGGTGCCATCAGGATTTCTGATGAGGTCTCTCTTCCTGGCTTGTATATTACTGCCTTCTCAACATTGCCTCAAATGGCCCCTTCTCTGTGTATATATGGAGAGAGAAAGATAGAGATAGTGATAGCAATATAGAGATAGTGATAGACACAAAGATAGAGATATATAGAGAAAGAGAGAAAGAGAGAGCGTGCACGCAAGAGAGAGTGAGCGCACGCTCCAGCACATGAGCAAACAAGCTGTCTGGTGTCTGATCTTATAAAGACACCATTCCTATTAGATTAGGGCCCCACTCTTATGACCTTATTTAACCTAATTACCTCCTCAGAGGTCCCATATCCAACCCATTATAATCATATTGAGGGGTCACAATTAAGTCCTTAATTTAAAGCGTCTCCCGTAATTTCAGGTTCAGATAGCTTCACTAGCAAGATCCATCAGACATTTAAAGAAGAAAGGAAGAAATAGTACAGATCATTCAGATTTTCAAATTATTTCAGAGAGCAGAAAAACAGAGGCATTTTCCAGCTATTTGTTTTTTTGAAACCAGAAAAACCTTAATCCCAAATCTTCACAAGGACATTATAAGATAAAAAAATTCATTATTGTAACTTTTATTATTAGCCCCAGTTCTCCATTCCTTCTTGTATGCATGCCCTTTGTCATATGACATTATAGAAGCTCCCACCTTCATGAGCAGAATGTATCCCTCCCAACCTTTGAGTCTAAACTTATCCATATTATTTAACTTTGGCCACTGGGATGTTAGTAAACAAGATGCAAAAAAGGAGTTGAAATGTGCTTACACAATGGAGCCTTCTATCTTTTGCATCTGCCATCTTCATGGAAAAGAAGAGTATGCTCCAAGTAGCCTGCTGGTTCCAGGAGGAATGAGAGGCAGTTGGAACAGAGCCATAGCTGGAAGAGTTACTCCATTAAGTTTAGGAAACTGCAGAACCACTCAGCTGAAAGTCTAGCCTAGATCCATGGAATACCAAGTTAACCTATAGATATATGTGAGGAAAAAGAATGACTTACTTTAAACTACTGAGTACTAAGGTAGTTTATTGCATTAGCTAGTCAATAAAAAAAATAGTTCTAGAGGCTCTAAACAAAACATGTGCAAATCACATTAAGCAATATATTTTATTTTTATTATTTTTTTCCAACAATATATTTTAAAAGAATACATTATAACCAATGAATTTATTCTGAGAATTCTAGGTTGATTTTACTTTTTAAATCTATATAATTCACCATATCAATAAAGTTGGGCTATCTCAATAGGTATAGAAAAATCATTTGATAAAATTTAACACCATTCCAGAAGAAAATACCCTTAATCTGATAAAAGAGTATCCGCAAAGATACCTATAACAAACATTGTAATTGATCTTGAAATGTTGAAAACTTTCTCTAAATATTGACAAAAAACCAAATATGGTTATTATTGCCACTTCTATTCAGTATCATATAAGATGTCTTAGTTCAGTATAATCCATCAAGCAAAAGAAATAAAATCTGATAAGTAAGAAATAAACTGCCATTGCTGGCAGAAAGTATGGTTACACTTGTAGAAAATCCAAAAGAATCTACAGAAACTATTAGAATTCATATATGTATTTAATAATGTTGCTAGATACACATTCAACACTTAAAAGTAAAGAACTGATACTACTGGACCTCAAGACTTATTATTAAGCAGTAGTAATCAAAACACTATGGTATTAGCAAAAGAATAGAAAAATTTATCAATGAAACAGAATAGCAATCCCCAAAATAGACTCACGCAGGTATATCCAACTGATCTTTGACAAAGGGGCAAAGGCAATACAAATGAGAAAGTATGGTCTTTTCAATAAATGGTGTTAGAACAACTGGATATTCACATGTTAAAAAAATATATAAAGGGATACAGACACAAACCTTAAAACCATCACAAAAATTAACTTAAAATGGATAATAGACCTAAATGTAAAATACAAAACTATAAAATTTCTAGAAGATAACATAGGAGAAAACCCAGAGGACCTTGGTTTTGGTTATTACTTTTTAAACACAACACCAAAGGCATGATTCATGAAGAAAACAAATGATAATCTGGACTTCACTAAAGTGAGAAGACAAACCATGGACTGGGAAAAGTACTTGCAAAAGACATCTGATAAAGCACTGTTATCCAAAATATGCAAAGACCTCTTAAAACTCAACAATAAGAAAATAAAAAAATTTAAAAATGGGCAAAAGACTTGGACAGACTATATAATAAGGATATATATAGATGGCAAATAAACATATGAAAAGATGTTCAACATATGTATCATTAGGGAACTGTGAATTAAAACATACCTATTAGGATAACCAAAGTCCAAAACATGATCAACATAAAATGTTGGCAAAGATATATATTACTATGAATTCCCATTTACTGTTGGTGGGAATGCAAAATGGTAGAGCCACTTTGAAAGATTGTTTGGCAGTTGCTACTAAACTAAACATTTTCTTACCCTGCATCTAGCGATTACACTCCTTATTATTTAACCACGAGTTGAAAATGTATGTTCACTCAAAAACCTAAACACAGATGTTTATAGTAGCTTTATTCATAATTGACAAAACATAAAATAAACCTTAGTAAGTAAGCTGTGGTACATTCAGACAATGAAATATAATCAGTTCTACAAAGAGATGAGCTATCAAGTCATGAGAAGACATGAAGGAACCAAAATGCATATTGCTAATTGAAAGAAGGCAATCTGGAAAGGCTACATAGTGTATGATTCAAACTGTATGAATTTCTGGAAAAGGCAAGACTACGGAGACAGTAAAAAAGATAAGTAGTTGCAAGGGGTCAAGGAAAGGAAGGAATGAATATGTGGAGTACAATGGAGTTTTAGAGTAATGCATCTATTCTATATGATACTATAGTGGTGTATACATGTCATTAAACATTTGTCAAAATCCATTGACCAAGAATAAATGCTAAAATAAGCTATGAATTTTGGGTGAAAATGATGTACCAGTGTAGGTTCATCACTCATAACAAATGTACCACTCTGGGGCAAGATGTTGAAAGTGGGGTAAGCAGTGCATGTAGGGGAGCAGTGGATATATGGGAACTTTATGTACTTTCCATTCAGCTTGTGAACCTAAAACTGCTCTAAAAATACTGTATGTTAAAAATGGGGGAAAAGTAAATAGTCGATTATGATACAATATCTGGTATCAGGTTTGTCTCTCTATCATAAACATCTACAGCACAGGAAAAATATATGAAACCGCTATTTTCATATATTGGATAATAAGGAACCCAGGCTGTGCTCTCTAAGAGCAGACTGAAATGGGTCCTACAGTTGCCTCAGTAGTCTGCCTGAAGCAATTTTTGGAACTTGACACAAGGCAGAAACCCAAGTAGAACATAGAGGTCATGCTGAGCTAAAGAGACAGATGTCAGAATCTAAAACCAAGCAGCTGGTCACACTTCAAACCTGGATAATAGTGAAACCTCTGTCATTGAAAACAAGAACAAGATTTACATAAAGGAAGGACTTATTTCAAGGGATGATTATAAACTGTGTTTTAAAGATACTGGGTTTAAAGTGAAAATACCTAAATATAAAATATGTTCAAGTCTTCTATGAATCTTTAGAATATATCTTCAAAGTCATAATGAATAAAGTTATTATAATCATAAAAATGATCAATTGCATAGAATTTTTAATTTCATACATTAAGGATTACCACAACATTGAAGTGTACTCAATACTGATATATTAAAGTCATTATAAAATTATTATAACTGATTTCCAAAACAAATCTCACTTGAGCATTGTATATTATCCTTCTTATGCCTTGCTGTTCTCAATTTGCTAGTAATTTGTTTTAAAAAGTGTATCTATGATTTGAGGGATATTTGATTTATACTTCTTTTTGGAAAATCCTTGTCAGATTTTGGTGTCAAAATGACACTGGCTTCATAAAATAATTTAGGAAGTTTCCCCCCCACTCTTATTTCAAGAGTTTATATTAAATCATATTACTTCTTCCTTAAATGTTTTTTATACTATAGCTTTCTTGACCTGGAGATTCTTTATGGGAAGGTTTTAAATTATGATTTCACATTTTAAAAAATAGATAAATAGATTTTTTATTTTTAGTGATTTTTAAAAGATTTGTCCATTTCATTCAGGTTATTGAATTTATGAATAAAGTTTTAAATTTTATGTCATTTAGTCATGACTATGTTTCTAGAAACTATAGTGATACTCCTTCCATCATTACTAATATTAGTCAGTTATCTTTTTCTCTCTTTTTAAAATTCACTTCTACTAAGGGCTTAACATTTTTTTCTTCCTTTTTTCAAAGATTGATTTGGTTTGTTGCTTTCTCTCTTACCATATTTTTAAGTTTATTAATCTCTGCTCATATCTTTATTATTTGCTTTTCTCTGCTTATTTTTCTTTTTAAGTTTCTTTTCGTTTTTATTTTCCTAAGCACCTTAAGCTAACGGTTTTTTTTCTAACACAAGTTTAGGTATAACCACAAGTTTTGGTATGTTGTATTTTCATTGCCTTTCATTATCATTTAGTTAGAAAAAAATTTCTAATTGCTCTTATTATTTCTTCTCTGAGTCATGTTTTTTTAGAAATGGATTGCTTAATAATCAAGAATTTTCTGAATATCTTTTTGTTACTGTTCTTAATTCTATTGTAGACAGAGAACATACTCTGATTGATTTTAGTTATTTGAAATATTTTAAAACTTGTCTTATGTTCAGCATAGTTTCATCATTGTGAATGTTCTATGTTCCATTAGTTTAAAAGACTGTATATTCTGCAATTGTGGAGTGTAGTTGTTCTATAAATGTCAATTAGATTAAGTGTTCTATGCTTGTCAGTTAGGTTAAGTTACTTGATCATATTGATAATAAATTACTTATCAATATTGATAATCTTTTATCTCCTTACTGATTTGTGTATGTGTACTTGATTCATCAGTTACTCAGAGAAGTATTAGATCTTCAACTATATTTGTGTTTGTACCTATGTTTCCCCCTAATTTTATCAATTTTTACTACATTTATCTTGAAACTCTGTTCTTAGATGCAAACACATTTAGTATTAGCATGTTTTCTTAATGAACTGACAATTTTTCAATATGAAAAATTCTTAATTTTGTCTGGTAATACTCCTTGTCTTGAAGCCTATTTTTTTCTGATATGAGTAAGACATTCAGCTTTCTTATGATTAGTGTATGTATGATTCTATAATTTTCATTTATTCCTTTTTTAGAATTTCCATTTCTCTTAAAGTACTCCATTGCTTCATTGACTATAATCCAACCAATATTTTAAAATATTTAAATATTTTTAATAGTTGCTTTAAAGTTCTTGTCTGCTAATTATAGTAACTGGTTCCTCAGTTAATTGATTTATGCTGCTAGTGTTTTCTCTGGATTATGGATTCCATTTCCTTCCTTCTTTGTGTTATGTAAGTGTTTTACTGTGTATTACACATACTGTGTATGTAGAAAAAAATATGAAGGCTGAAATTTAATTTAGTTTATTTTAGAGAACCCAAGCCTTTTCTTTTTTAGTTTTCCTTCCCTTTCTTTTTCTGTTCTTTCTTTGGTATTTAGAGTAAGAGGCTAATCTTTTAGAATTCTTCTATAGTTGAGTTGAGCTTTAGGATTGGATGCAGTTTTAATTAGATGAGTCCAGCTATGATTAACTTAAACTCCACCTAATCCTTCATAGCCACCATTTATCTTGTCAATATTGGAGCTGGGAGAAGTTTGGACTGAAGTTTTAGATATTTTTGGTTCACTTTTAGGATCAACTTTGTCAGAGCCCTGGAATCCAAGAATTGATAATTTATTGGTCTGTACAATTTTTCTCTTTCCAGCTCCTCCTCCATTGCTACTTTCTTGGTAAAATTCAGAGATGAGGTTTGGGGGGAAGGGGAAAGGGGTTGTTTGACTGAATCATTTATTTTTGTATTTTGGTGTCTTTCAGACTCTAGTTTGGTCCCCCAACTCACATGGATGCCTAAAGCCCAGCTGATTTCTCTTCATCTCTGCAAAGTTACTGCATCATGGAAGGCCAACAGAAGTATCAAAGGATGGACAGCAGAACTGTCTTCCACGTAAGGAAGCTGCCACAACTTTATTCTCACTTATAAACGGCATTTTTCTCTCTGTATTTCAGCTAATCAGGGCTTCCAGATAGGCCTGGCTTCATAGGTTCTCAACCTCTGCAGTTACACAGGGCTTCATGCTGAGAAAGACCTTGTACTTGGTTTGATGGTCTGATGTGATCATCTTGAAGTACTTAATAATTTTTGAACAAGAGTCTCTGAATTTTCACAAATCATATAGCTGGTCCTGTTTATGACATTCACTACTTTTCACTAACACCATAGAAAAGCATGGTTTTTTTTTGGGGGGGGTCCAAGTTTTTCTTGTTGTTACCATGGAAGCATAGGTGTTTTATATCCTTCTACATCCTAACAAAAGTATAAATCTATTTAATTTATGCCTTACCTCCTTTTAACTTTATCCTGATGGAACCTTGAAATCTTGCATTGAAATGAGCTGGAGTTTTTTCTATGCACACTTCACTTTCTTAGTGCCTTTTTCTAATTCCCTTTAACTTAAATGTGGGTATTACTTTTAGTGCCTTGTACTAGAAGTGGTTTGAAAGCCATTATAAGAAAAAAAGTCAATACTTAAATTGTTTCAATTAGGTTCTTTTATATTGTGTACATTTAAAAATATACTGCTAGTTCCTTCTAGCCCAATAGCTATACTCACTGTTCCTGAAGATATTATATTATGAACGTTTTCTTTCTATAAGCCTTTTGTGCATACCATCTCTCATATCTCTCACCCTTCTCAACATGACTTGCCCTAGAGTTCTGTTTCCTTTAAAATTTTCTTGACATCTCTATGCATCGTTACTTCTGTCTAAACATCTATTTTCTATTATGGTTGCCACATACACTCTTTATCTTATTATTGTTGTATTATTGGTTAGACATTTACTTATGTTCATCATATATTTCAAACATTAAAAGAATAAAATATTCTCTTCAAACTCAGATGTGTAATTATTTTTACAAAACATGGCCTTGTGATTTTGTAATCTTGACTATTTTATATATTGATGTAAAATATGTGTTTTAGTAAATAAAAATATAATGCAATCTTTTCAGTGATGTCATCGTGGATACTAAGATATTATACTCTGAATTTCTCTTATTTTTGTCTTCTCACTGGTTTTTAAGTATATAGAGATTTTTTAAATTATTTTTCAAATAACTACACATTTTTTATGTTAAATTTACTCATTTATTCATTAATTTTTACACATTGCAAATACTTATTGTACATTGACTATGAGCCAGCCACTGTGTGATTCAGTTCAACTGTGATTGCACCAGAGTTTCTATTCTCATAGAAATAAACTGCTGTATGTTACCATGGAAAAATTTTTGGGAGAGTAGGAAGACTTTCTAGAAAAAGTGACTTTTAATTTGCTATTTGAAAGAAGAGTTAAATAGGCCAAGAAGGGATTGGAAGTAGAAGGTTTGGGAAAGGGAGACTTCTAAACAGAAGGAAGAATATGTGCAGTTTCTAAGGCAAGAAGGAGCAAGGTGTGTTCTTGATTAAAATTAGTTTTTCTAATGTTGAGTTTATTTTCAAGTCACAATGAAACTACTAATAAAAAATGGTGTCATTACCTATTAGACTGAAATATTCAAGTATTTAAATTATTTTTTACCATGTTACTTGTTTGTCTTTTAAAAATATTTCATCAGCAAAAAGTACATGTTATATATTTTTGGCTCTGGATTTATGATAGACACCATCCACAATAGCCCAGAATATTTTAGAACTCTTATAGGAATTTCAAATGAGGACATTCAACAAGATTCATGTGGATTTTTTTCTCTAGTGCCATTGTATAAGAGAGCAACCTTTTACAGAATTTGGAGGCTCAGAATGTAAACATTTATTTGTCCCTTTTCAAAGTGTAGTCATGTTACAAAATGAACATTTTATAATATCTTACAGCTCTGAATATTATAACTTAAGTGTCATTTTATTTAAGTAAATTATGTATAAGCATTGTGAACAATCTGAATTTTTGTCAATGAGAAATATTGATTTTACTTCATTAGAAAATGCAAGAACCTCCACAGAGTGTTGAAGAATTCTTAAAGTTTCAAAATTGGGTAAGTAGAACATCCTATTTTACGTGCCAATACATCCTTCTAAAATATCAGTTATGGAGATTGTGGAAGGCTAGGAACAGACTTTCAGAATAGAAATTTGAGAACTATGTTTTAATGTGGAAAGTGTTTATAAATATTTATCTCTTTTCAGTAGGCTCCATTTTATATAGTCTTTCTCTCTTATCAATATTCTTTTTTTCACATTTTAAAAATTCCACTCTTATACAGACATTTCTGTATACTTATTCTAATATAAGATTTTCATCTTATGTAACTTAATTTAAAGAATATCTGACAATTGTATTTACTTAGTTTATCCATGCACCACAGCTAAGGCTCACAGGTAATTTGTAGAGGTGCTGCATCAATACTCCTTGATTGTTGACTCAGAATGAAAAATTCAAAATGTTTTCATGTTGAAAGCTTCCATTATTTCCATTATTTTGTGTAACTATCGACTTCTTCTGGAGTTTCCATTATTATGTGTAACTATTGACTTCTTCTGGAGTTACTGAGCTTGCTAAGGAGTTTTTCTTTGAGCCTATGCACTTACAAGTATGAAGATCTGGCTTGTTTTGCATGAACGAGTGTCAAGTAAGAGCTAGAATAAAGCTGTCAGTGTAGATGACAGAGGAAAAAAGGTAGCTTTTTATTAGTTGCATTTGTATTTTGAGTAGATTGGAATATAAATAATATGCATTTATTTATGTTTAAATATAAACAGAATTTGCTGTTCTATGACCAAACTTTTGACAATGAAGTTTCAAAATATCTATTTTTAAACATCTATTTTCTGTTCTTTCATTTGTTTATGTGAGTACATCCCTACTCACCAGTGTTTTGAGAAAAGATCGAGTTGTCTTGGATGAAAATATTCCTAGTTTACAAAAGTTTATTTCAATCACTGTGGCAGAGCCAAAAAATTTTGAAGTATTTTTAGGACAAGTTTTTTGTAACTCTTTGAATTAAATAATGATGAAAATGTGCTGCAGCTTAATGACAGTGTTTCTGGTCTTTTTAATGCCAAAACAAAAGGATTATACTTAAAACTAAGACAACCTGTCCAAATAATAGAGCTGTTTGGACTACATCATTATATATGTTTAAGGACCTATGATTTCAAATGAAAATTTCTAATTATTTGCTGTGGAAAATATATTTAATTATTTTGTTCTAATGTAGAATGGTATTGATCAAATCAAGATAATAGATTTATGCTAGCCCATCACTAAAGATAGAATCAAATCAAATTAAAGTACATGTCAGTATTATCATATCCTTATATGCAGAGGAATACTGTATTTCTATCTGTATGCAAAGGCTATAATTATAGCCTGCAATTTTTATCATAGCATTTGACAAAACAGTATATCCATTTGTTGCATTTTGTCATTTATGTGTTTATTTGTAAACCTTTTCTTATTGTCAGGATTTTCCAATTCACATTCTGTAGAAATTTTTAATTTTTTAAATTTTAAGTTTTTTATTTTAAAATTGTGGGGTACAATTCAGTGGTAGGCATACAAATATTCATTATTCAGGTACCCTTCTTAATGAGGTGTGCCCCCCTTCCCTAAGCAGATTCCAACTACTGCCAATCCTACCTCCTGCCCGCCCCCCCCCCCCACTCCCTGCAGCTTCCCGTTACTGCCAATCCTTTTCTTATAGTATGATAGTTGTTCAAGGTCCACTTATGAGTGAGAACATGGGATAATCAGTTCTTTGTTTCTGTGAAAGATCACTCAGTATTATAGACTCGTTTAAGTCTATCCAGGTTGCTGCAGAGTTCATGATTTTGTTCTTCTTTATGGCTACGTAATATTCCATTTGTATATATACCACGTTTTTTAATCCAGTCCTCTTTTGATGGGCAGCGTGGTTGGTTCCATGTTCTTGCTATTGTGAAAAATGCCATGATAAACATGCATGTGCAGGTGTCTTTTTTATAGAGTGACTTGAGTTATTCCAGGTATATTCCCAGTAGGGGGATTGCAGGGTCATATGGAAGGTCGATTTTTAGAACTTTTAGGAATCGCCACACTGTTTTACAGAGAGGCTGTACTAGTTTACATTCCCACCAACAGTGTAGAAGTGTTCCCTTTTTGCCACATCCTCTCCAGCATCTGTTGTTTTTTGAGTTATTGATGATGGCCATTCTGACTGGAGATGGCATTTCTTTGATGACTAGTGAGGCTGAGCACTTTTTCATGTATCTGTTGGCTGCTTGTATGTCTTCTTTTGAGAAGTGTCTATTCATATCTTTTGCCCACTTTGTAATGGGGCTATTTGGTTTTTTTTCTTTTCAGCACATTTGAGTTCCTTGTAGATCCTAGATGTTAGGCCTTTGAAATACTTTTTCCCAGTTTGTGGGCTGTCTCCCTGCTCTCTTGATGATTTCTATGGCTTTGCATAAGCTTGTCAGTTTGATGAGGTCCTACTTGTCTATCTTACCTATTATGGCATTGGCACTTGAGGTTTTGATCAGGAATTGGTTGCCAGTTCCAATTTCCATAAGGGTGTCTCCTGCGTTTTCTAAAGTTCTTATAGTTTGAGGTTTTACATTTAGGTCTGGATCCATTAAGAGTTGGTTTTTGTGTATGAGGATAGGTAGGGGTCCTGTTTCAATCTTCTGCATGTGGTCAGCCAGTTTTCCCAGCACCGTTTACTGAATCGGTTCTCCTCTCCCCAGTGGTGGGTGGTGGAGGCTTTTTCAAAGATGAGTTGGTTGAGAAATTGAGGTCTTGCTTCTCGAATCTCAATTCTTTTCCATTGGTCTATGTGCCTGTTCTTGTACCAATACCAGGCTGTTTTGATTATTGTAGCTTTATAATAAAGTTTAAAGTCTGGGAGTGTGATACCTCCTGCTTTTTGTTTTGTTTTGTTTTTTGTTTTTGCTGAGGGTTGTTTTGGATATTCATGGTCATTTATGTTTTCATATGAATTCCTGGATTGTTGTTTTTGTCTGAGAAGATTGTTGTTGGTCATTTGATGGGTATTGCATTAAATCTATAGATTGCCTTAGGTAAAATGAACATCTTAACAATATTGATTCTTCCAATCCATGAGCATGGGATATTTTTCCACTTGTTTGTGCCATCTTTGATTTCTTTGAGTAGTGTTTTGTAGTTTTCATTGTAAATGTCTTTCACATCTCTGGTTAGGAACATGCCAAGGTATTTCATTTTTTTTTTTTTTTTTTGTGGCTATTGTGAATGGGAATGTGCTTTTTATTTTTGTTTCTGTTTGTTTATTATTGGTTTATAGAAATGTGATTGTCTTTTGCACATTTATTTTATACCCTGAGACTTTACCAAAATCCTTTATCAGCACAGGGAGGTTTTTGACAGATTCTCTTGGGTTTTTGAGGTATAGATTCATGTCATCTGCATAACTTGATTTCCTCTTTTCCTATTTGGATACCCTTGATCACTTCTCTTCTCTAATTGCTCTAGCTAGGGCTTCCAAAACTACATTGAACAGGAGGGGTAAAAGTGGGCGTCCTTGTCTTGTTCCAATTTTCTGGGGAATGGTTCCAATTACTGTCTGTTTAGCAGTATGCTTGCTGTGGGTTTCTCATAGATGTCACTTACTAGTTTGAGGTATGTTCCATCTATGCCTAGATGTTTGAGGGTTTTTATCAAGAAGGGGTGCTGCATTTTATCAAAAGCTTTTTCTGCATCTAATAATATAATCATGTGATTTTGTTTTACATCTGTTGATGTATTTAATTACATTTATGGTCTTATGAATGCTGAACCAGCCTTGCATCCTGAGGATGAAGCCTACTTGGTCATGGTGAATGATTTTTGAGATTTGTTGTTGAATCCGGTTTGCTAGGATATTGTTGAGAATTTTAGCATCTGTGTTCATCAAGGATATTGGTCTGTAGTTCTCTTTCTTTCTTGGATCTTTACCTGGCTTGGGTATCAATGTGATGTTAGCTTAATAAAAGGTTTTGGGGAGAGTTCCATCTTTTTCAATCACCTGGAATACTTTCAATAGCATTGGTATCAATTCCTCCTTGTATGTTTTGTAGAATTCTGCTGGAAAGCCATCTGGTCCAGGGGTTTTTCTTTTGTTGGTAGTTTTCTTATGACATAATCAATTTCCTGGAATATTACTGGTCTATATAGCATCTCGATTTCCTCTTGTTTCTACCTGGGAAGGTTGTGTGATGTCAGAAAGTCTTTCATTTCCTTTAGGTTTTCAAGTTTGTTTCCATACAAGTATACATAGTAGTCTTGATAATCTTTTGTATTTCTTCTGGGTCAGTTGTGACTTCATCTTTTGTGTCTCTAATTGTGTTTATTTGGGATTTTTTCTCTTTCTTGGTCAGTCTAGCTAGGGAACCATCAATCTTGTTTATACTTTCAAAGAACCACCTTTTTGTTTCCTTGACTTTTTGTATTATCTTTTTGTCTTCTATGTCCCAGATTTGGGATTTATATTTTGGTGATCTGGATTCTTCCGCTGAAGTTAGGGTTTTGGTGGTCTTGCTTGTCCAGCTTCCTTAGGTGACTTTTAGACTGTTCACTTGTGATCCTTCCATTTTTTTCATATGTGTTTGTAGCAATATGAATTCCCCTCTTACTACTGCTTTCATGGCATCTCAGAGGTTTTGTTAAGATGTTTCTTCATTTTCATTTTTTTCCAGTTTTCTTTGACTTTCTGTTTTGATTTCCATGTTGACCCAGGAGTTGCTTAGCATCATGCTGTTTAGTGTCCATGTCTTTGTGGGTTTTATGGGAACTTTGTTGGTGTTGATATTTATTTTTATTCCACTGTGGTCTGAGAAAGTATATGGCAGAATTTCAATCTTATGAAATTTGTTTATGCTTGGTTTATGGCCAAGGATGTGGTCGATCTTAGAGTACATTCCATGTGGTTATGAGTAGAATGTGTATTCTGTGGTCGTTGGGTGGAGTGTTCTGTAGGTATCAATTAAGTACTTTTGGTCAAGAGTCACACTGAGGTTCCAGATCTCCTTGATGATTTTTGGT